TTTTTATCAATGCGTTCCATTCCATTTTGTATTTTTGTACTCAATGATCTGTACCTTGTATATAAAGTTGATCAATAAACGTCTTCTCTAGCCAGTCTTATGCACTCATTTCCGAACCAACGAGAATTTGGTTGAGAACTGAAGTCGTCACTCGGATGGACTGAGAGTAATTCAAAATTAAACAGCAAGGCGACCCTTGTTTCTCCTTTTGTAGGAGACCGGCAGGGGCGGATCCAGACATAATTTCTGCCAGTCTCCCTTATTATCTTTGTTGATCCATCCTCCATTTTTGACTGTCTTCCGACAGAAAAATAAGATACCCTTCAATGTTAACTTGAAAATCTTACCGTCTTCCAGAAGGTCCCGAAAATGGCCTTAATTCGCCTGTGTTTCTCCCTAGCCATCACTGTCACTGAGCCACGGGAGAGAGAATAGAACAAGCAGGAATCTGAATTTTTACTTTTTACTTACTTTATTTCTCTGTCTCACTTCAGAATCTATTTTGGTTTGTGTCGTTGACCAATCCATAACACGTTTCTAAAACGGATAGTCGCTAATGTTTTGAACAATAGAAGCATTAAAGTCCCGTAACAAACACATGACACTACAACAGTATACAAATGCAACGACGCAATCTCTGAAACAGCAGTGAACATGTAACAGATCAGAAAGTGACACTCTGATTTTATAGATTTTTTTCTGGTAGCAAACTTTGCCTTAACTTTTGCTAGGAGAGGGGGATCTGTGCTTCTTGAAAACGGTAATTTCATTGACTTTGGACTTTTGCCAGACCAATATCTATCCCACGTGGTTTTCAACCGATAAACCGTCATACTTGTCACGTGGGCATCTTCTCCCTCACAGTAAGCGTCAAGACCATCACTAGTTTCTTTCTTTGGAAAAATGAGCGTGGTGATCACTTGTCGTCCGTCGTTGGCGAATAGTTCCACGGATGACCAGTCAAGAAACATATGCAGTTTAAGCGAACCCGCCTGCAGGGTGACGTTTGCATTGTAGAATACTCCCATTCCTTTACGGTAAACAATATGGCCACTCATTGACCTATTTATAAATATTTCCTGATTTACATGGTCGTATCCAACAACCGTGTGTTCCGTGTCACCGTCCATGAGCTTGAAACCCACAATTTGAGTCTTTGGTTTGGGTTTAAGTTGGACGATGATTTCTAGCAATCGACCCCTCACGTTTTTTGCCTGCAGGTTTTTACTGATCTGAAATATATTTAAGATCAGTTGAACGGCATCAGCTCAATAAATGTCCCGCAGCTGGTGAGTAAAATTGGGTTTTAGACAAACAAGTGTTTACGTAATCTGAAGCACATGAAAATGGCACTTGCAATAAATAATAAGTAGGTAAAGAAGCCGACCGTATAAGCAGTCACTTAGTGTAGTTAGCGTAGTATAAGATATGTAGTAGTAGTAGCTAGGGTATTATAATAGCTATGGTTACTTACCGTTGAAATCTTGGTGTTCCTTATTTGCCATACAACCCCAGTCCTCAATTTCTCGACTTCTTTGATCGGTTTTTGCACCAGAAGAAGTTCTCCGTTTTCCCTCTCCAGAGACAGCACGCGGGTTAAGGACTGGGCCCCCTGCCAAGGCCCCGTTGGATGATACTGACACGTCTCCCAAACGCTAGTGTAAAATGAAAATAAATAAGTAAATCAAATATTATTTACAGATCAATAATCTACCAAGTGAATAATGCAAAACCTCAAAGAATATAATAAAATGTTACAATCGGATATGTAGGGGGTTAATATACATATGGAAAATTTTTTATAAGTTTATAAAGTATTATAAAAGTGTTTGAAGCGGCGAAGGCATGGCATTAACAACAACAAAAAAAAAAATACAAAAAATGGAAGGATTAAATTTTTGAATGTATGGACAAAAATAATAAAAGAACAAAATAAAATTATCTTCCGAGCAGCAGAAAAGAGGAATTTGCTGCAGTTTTTTAAACACTTCGGTGGCATAAGCTGGGTTTAAGTAGCAATGGTTGCCAGATGTACTTGCTTAATATGCATCTTTAAAAGCTCATAGGCTAATATCACAAAAACTACTTTACTAATCGATTGTTTGAATTTACCGGTCTAGAGACCTAACTTGAGACTTTTTTTGAACCCCACTTATGGGCTTCGATGGGGTCCCATAATTCTTCTGAATTATTGATAAAAATTAGCTTAAGCCAGAAATAAGAGAGAGAGAGGAAAACGTCATCGCCTCACCACATCCACCCTGTAATCAACAATCGATCGTCCATATAATTAGTCCACGTCTGAATGGCAGTGAAGTCGGGGCCAAAGTCTAAAATTTTGGCCATGGTTTGGTCAGCGGTAAACTTTTTCCCGTCAAATTCCCCTGAAATAAAAAACATATATATCCCATTGAACTGTTCAAAGGGAGAGTGTCCTTTGAGATCGTTAACAAGCTAACAAAACTGAATCATCCTTTTTAGTGATTAGTTCTTAATTACTCATAGAGATATATTTTTATTGTTCAATTTCTACGCTAGCTGAAAGCCTGTCTGTGTGACTGATCATGACGAAATCCCAAGTGTTGAGACGAAAGCTATTACAGGTAAATTTCAGTTAGTGTAGAAATAAAGAAGTTTTAAATTTCGTCAGTGGTCGCATTCACAGTTAAGCATTTTATTATGAAATATTTACCTAACAAAAATATTATCTACAACACAAAATCAACAATGTAAAGAAACATACCAGTCCAATACATGACTGTGCGACGAGGGCGGGATTTAGCTCCTGTCATGGACGGCAATACCCACTTTGATATATTTTCTCCTTCCACTTTTAATTCAAAGAAATTTGGTGTCTCCCATTCTTTGTTAAATATCAGTCCTTCTGGGCCTTTCTCACTCAAGTATGTCCAATTCTTGAGATCCGGGGAAGAATAAAACTGTACTGCTCGTTGCCCCACCGCTTGTGCAACTACCATTAGCCAGCTGTTTGACGGTTCATGCCATATTACTTTCGGGTCTCGGAAGTGGTTTTTTCCAGTCCTCAGAACTGGGTTCTTGTCATACAACGTCCATGTTATCCCCCCGTCCAAACTATAGGCAAGTCGTTGATCCGAGTCTATGAAGCTTCTACATAAATAGGAAATGGAGACGTTAGAGGAAAGACCTTCATTTGACTATATTGGACAAAATGATTAAATATGTAAATAAACTGATTGATTGATCAGTTCGTTAAGGAGCACTTTAAACTTCAACTTTAGAGTTACAATTGTTCGAAACGAGAAGCAGGTGAACAAATCAACAAACAATACAAATAAAATGAAATAATAAATAAAACAACGTGTTAGAATTGATAACATCGTTTTTAAAACTATTGTCGTACGATCGATTTCCGCTCACAACGACAGCGGAAGAAAGGACGTTCACCACTTACGCAATATTCCCAGTGAAAATGATAACCATGGCCGTGGCTCTGTCGGTGGAAAACCCAGTGGTGTTTTGAAAATCCATCACCGCACTGCCGCTAAAAGCCATGATTCCAGCCTGTTCGGGTATGGCGAGTGGCCAAATCTCCCAATGAAGCATATCCGTGCTCACTGCATGCCCCCAGCTACTGTACAATGTAGGTCCCTTACCTGAAAATATCACAAATAATTGACATCTCAAGGGCACCCATTTTTTTCAGCAAAGATGGACTGGCCATGTACAGCCTTTATTTTAATGATCACTTTTAGAGAAATGGCGTATCGGTAAACATGACGCTCTTCACGGTTTTGAAGATCATTTTGGAACTCATTCCCATTAAAACTACTGTCTACGTAGACTGATCCAACTCCACGTGGATTCTTGCTGAATATAATCAGTTAAACAGATTAACACGCTTTCTTTTGTTTCCGGATTTCAAACATATTTACCAGCTTTTCTGTACTCTACTCATGAGGAGGCGTGTTCATCTACTAAACTGACGGCATTTACAGTCCTGAGTTACATCCATTAACGTAGACCGATAGTATTAATGAGAATGAGCCCTTAGTTGTTAAAAGGACGGGTGATTTCTGTCACTCTCTAAGCTCTATCTGTATAGGAGGCCACTTAAGGTACAATTTTAAAGCAAAAACAGGCGACTATTTGGCAGGACATACGCTATTAATTAAACACTGCACATCCCACGCAGTGACAGGAGGGAGAGGCCACATGTCTTAAATTTTGTTTAGCTTTGGTCGTTAAGTACTAAACAAGGACTACCAGTATACTACTAGGATTAAAGGGAAAAATATTTGGCTTTGTCTCATTTTGCTTCTTATATAGTTTGTTGGACGAAGTTGGGTAAGATGGATGCATTAAGCAAGCTAAGGGGAGAGGGCTGTGTCCCCTCTCCCNCCTTAATATCTCGATTGTCTATGTTACGTCCACTTTTGTCGTTTAAATATCTCGAGAGCGGGTTAATCCAAGAAATTATGAAAACGTTGTTTTTTTTTTTGGGGGGGGGGAGGGGGGATAACTGTCATATACATGTATGGTCAATACAGACATATCCCTCTGCAGATGATCTTGCTTTTTTACATTAAAATTGAAATTTGATAACATGGAAATTCGCCAATTTCAAAAGTACCTTAAAAATACTTAAAAGTCACATACCAACCGGGTCATATCCATAGAACAAGTGATAAATCCCATCGTACGCCATCAGTCCACATGGGTCGTTCATGAAGTGTTCGGGAGTGGTGAAATGATACTGGGGACGCCATCTTTCATGATATAATTCCGGTTTAGGCGGCCGTTGACGTCGGCTGTAGATGCTCGCCGGCTGCAGTATGATGAATATCAAAAGCAAAGTCAGAGATCCCATCATTTTTAAACTAATTCCACAACATCCCTCCTTGTCCGCTATAGAACTAGAGGAGTCCGCATGTCGTAGAAGCAGCTGTCCGAGAAAAAGACCCAAAAGATAAAGAGAAAACAAATAATTGTGTTGCGATTGTTATACGCCCGACCGCCCTTTTTATCGTTTTTCACTATGACCAACCTCAATGACCCCGGTGTCAGTCGGTGACCAGACAGCTGTAAATAAATCAAATGTGTTTAAATGGAGAGCCACTGTGTCTGCTTTAGTTACCTTTCTCAATGCGTGCACTTAATGTTAGGTTATTACGCTGCCACCTGTGGGGTTCGACAGCCTGTTACAAAATTATTGTGCCGGTTCTTTCTTTTATTTTGCTTAGGCCCGCTATTTAAGAGGCCCTTGTCATCAGAGGGCCCCTATTATCTTGATCTGGTCAGCAGCGCACATTGAAGTCACCACAAATTATTATACTTCCCATGTTTTGGTGACCATGTATATATATATATATATGTTGCAAGCTGGGTGGAAAGTTTTCAGGGTCAATGTTGCAGGTTATGACTCTGTTATAACTCCTTGCATACTCTGTTATAACTCCTTGCTTACACCCAAGCAAAAGTAATTCCTTTCTGTTTTTGCTTTAAAAACCATTTGGAATTCATTTTCTGTTTCCCCTCTCTAATTTCTTCCTCAATATACACTCTATGATAATCATTACTATTTTTTAGTTTCTGTTTGTTTTTTCAACATTTAATTTTTCTGTTCTAGACTAGAGAGCGTGACAACAACTTTGCCTGGGCCTTTTCTTCTTGTAATTTTTCGTTCGGCTTTTTCAAGGCGGTCGTGTTTGATATTCAAACCGTACTGTAGGCCTATAAGGGAATTCACACTTTGCTTAAGGGCCTGTGGGTCTTTGTTTTCCCTGGTTCCCTCGGGTAAGTTTTTTTTTTATAATAATCCTATGGATTTTCGTGTGAGTATCTTAAAATTGTTGCATGGAGATTTTTTATTTCGTTCACTTTTGGTATCAACGTCGATGTAATTGTTTTTTTTTTTTTTTTCATGTGCTCATGCATTCAAATCGTTCTGCACCCCTCAATAGCACCCTCTAGTTTTTTCGTCAGCCTTTTTTCCAAATATGCCGACGACAGGATCTGGGAATGGTACCTAGCCAAAAACGTACCAGAGAGACTCCATTCCCCACCTTTCCCACCACGCATTCAAGGCTACAAGTTCAACAACTGTGAATTTCTTTTGTTATTTTCATCTAGTGCGAGGCGCTGAGTTTTATGCGACATGGAGTTCAGGTGAAGCTTAAAAAATTATTTGTCCTTATCGGGCGCTGTCTGGCTTTTGAAAAAAAAAAAAAACGGTCTTTTAACCCTGGCGCTATGAATGACCAATTACATTAATCACGGGGTCCTGAGGGTCCTGCCGAAACGTGACACCAGCTGATGAACGCGGAATGTAGGAGAGTACCAGTGGAGCGTTGAACACGTATTGTGTTTTCTTTTATAATAAATATCGATTTTCGTGTAAGTGGTGGAGATGGCGGCCTATATAACAGAGGAATATTTCTTTAATTGGTAGAAATAATTCTGAATTCCTGGTAGGCTTGCAATAATATATTCACAAGGCGACAAAAGTGCCCCAAGGCAAAATCGACATTATGCCGACCCGTCACACGAAAGATATTTTCTTTAAAATTTTGAATATTATTCACATAACCCTTCCAAACGCCGTTTCTATATGCGACCAATAGTTAGAAAGGACGCATCAGTCAAGGAATTTAGTTCCCGATCGGTCCTTCAGAATTTTTAAATGTTATATCCGTAAAATATGAAACCATAAAAAGTGAATTGAAATATGAATGTTTTATCCGTTATGATTCCAGCAAACAAGAATCAGTTTCCTGCGATGGGAATCCTCTATTGGGTCTCATCATAATGAAGAAAGGAAATGAGTTAAAGCCCCCGTCACACTTCGGAATCAGCAGGAATGAAGCAGAACCAGCCGGAATGACTAAATTTAAAAATTCGTACTACATTTGGGAAGAAATTTCAAATTGACCTAAACTTTTGTAAGAATGTCGTTGGCATACTCAGAATGCGCTTGAATCCGCCTGGAATAATGCTTTCAGAATGCAGTTAGAATATTTAGAATACACTTCGAATGCTGTATGAGTATAGTTCGATTGCTGGCTGAAATAGGATCGAGATGCATTCGAGTTGCATTCTGGCTTATTCTAGCAGGATTTGAAGTGTCTTGCCATTTCGGTTCTCCCTCGAATGTGATCAGAATGTTTAGAATGCTTCGGAATGCCGTGAGAATATTTAGAATGCAGTCATAGTGCAGTTTAGAATACTATTCAAATGCCATTCGATAATTTTCCAATTGGAATGCACTTCGAAAGTTTTTAAAATGAGCAAAATATTCGGGCCGGCCACAAGAATGGGTAAAAATATTTGGAATGCACTCGGAATTTTTAGAATGCTCTTCGAATATCCAGGAACGTACAAAGAATTGTCTTTCCGGCGGCATTCTTGCTCATTCCTCCTCTAGTGTGACGGGGGTACTAAGGTTGTCGGTCCATCCCAACGCCATGATGCTTATTCAAATCGATATGTGTTTTCACGGAACATTGCGTCTTTTCAAGTAGACAACAGACCAGTGTGGTGAATGGATGCTGTGCAAATAGAATATAAGCACTAATGACGCTAGCTGTTCGAGCGTCCTTCAATGCTGGACTGCCAATAACAATGAATAAGTCCTCAAACTCAGGTATTTTGCCCTGGAACTTAATCAATTTTTAGACTCAGAGTTTTTAGACTAAAATGTGTAATAAAATTAAACATACCGAGGGGCTGGTACATGTATCAAAACAGACAGCAATTATGAATACATCTATTGCGATCGCGTGTATTTCAGATGATGCCTTGAGGGATGTACCGTACAAAAATTATCTAAAAAAGAGAAAGTTTCTGCCGGTACCATTCTCATCTACTCTTTACCACGGCCGCATATTGATTTCTTACTAGGTATTCACATGTGTCTTTGGCTTATATTTTTCATTCTTTCTCTACTGAGAAAATTTTTATCGACGAAAAAAATGTCATGTATTTCAGATGATGCCTTGAGAAAATTATTTTAAAAAGAGAAAGTTTCTCCAGGTACTATTCTAATCAAATCTTTACCAAGGCCGCATATGGATTTTTTTTTTTTTTTTTTTTTTTTTGCTAGGTATTCACATGTGCCTTTGGCTAATATTTTTCTTTTCTTTTTTTTCTCTCTACTTAAATACTTTTTATCAAAGAAAAAATGTCATTACTCCGTTGTCCACAAGTATAGAGAAATACTTACCCTAATACTGTCAGTAACCTAATGGCACTGTATTGTTTTCATCAAATCCCAAACTCTTCTCTGTAGCTATCAATGAATATTATACTCACGTCACGCTTGGTTATATTTTGTCCACATTTAAATCTGAACTAAAGTAAAGAAAATCGGGACTAAGGGCCTAAGGCATTTTCCGGTCAAGCGTCACACGTTAGGATAATTGCATTTGTCTTTTGCTAACATGCTTGCCTGCATTTTCAAACGCTTCACTGCTGTTCATGCTCTCATTTACAGTAATTCGTTCATACTTATCAGTCACACTTGAATGATATTTAAAAACCACTTTCGCGTCATAAGACAACAGAATGCACCGTGTTTTTATTTCTTGTCAGGTCACATCAGGTCATCCAGTGCGAATGCGTGCCACGCAACAGCGCACACAACTAATATCATACAACTTCACTTTGGACTGTCCGGTGTCACGTGAAGAAACCGTCGTCGTGATTAAACCGTTCTGACGGATTATTCACGCGGGGGTAGCAGTCTGTTGACTTACAGTACGTAGCTGCACATGCATTTCTAACATTTCCCCGCAGAGAAAGTTGTAGTATTAATTATCAAACACAATTTCTTTTTAATGAAAATGACTGAACTCTGAATTGAAAGAACATTGTAGAGTGAAAAGATTTATACTACGAGTCTTAGATCTGCCACGTTTTTCACACAGAGCAAAACAGTTCAGTCACGATCAAAAGCTCACTTCCAACATTCCCCCCAATACTGTAGTAATAAGATTATCAAAAACATGACGAAAACCACTGAATTATGAATTGGAAAATCATAGTTCAGTGCAAACATAGCGCCTACTTAGGACGACATCGTCATACCGGAAGTTACTTCTTTCAATCTACCTCAATGCGCATGTGCAGAACGGTTTTGTGTCATTTTAGATTTTTTTGTCACTGAATATTAAAGAAAGAAAAAAAAACAGCATGATGACAACAAAAGAAACCTTAAATTAAATTTTTTTATTCGCGATGCAAAAATTATGTAAGAAATGTCAAACTACACATGAAAACACTATATGTGTTTCAGTCGACAAGTGCTTGGACCAGAACAACCTTTTTTCCGGACATTTTTTTGGGGAACATAAATTACCTATGTTTTAGTCTTGACGCGAAGTCCCCTGAGTTACAGTTTATAAAGTTTATTTTAAAAGACGTCCTTACCTCACCTATAATTTACAATAACTGAATCACTACAGCATATTTGGAACATGATACAAAATAAATAAATAAATAAATAATAAAAACTTTTGATCCCGAGCATAAGAAAATTGTTGTCGGTTTGCGTACGAGATGTTTTGTCTCCGACGAAACAGGCACATGTCAATACAACAAACACTTTAAATTATGGGAATACAACATTAATATTTATGCTAAAAACTGTGTTCTGAAAGTTACACATTTGCTTTGTTAAAATGGTCATGGTCACGATCATTTTCTGCAAATTGCTTACGTTTACGACACTCGTAGGCCTATAGACCTACCACTTTATAATGCCACGTTTCTAACATTTTTAAGCTTGCGTTTTCATGTAAACATTTCACTTAAAATATGCCACTTGAAATTACTGTACTTGCAGACCGCGAAGAGTGGGCCCCACGCCCAAACTAAATAGCCCTGACTCGAGTCCGTCTGCTCTACAGCTTGCCCCCTGACGCTTCGAACCTCGGTAAGTCTTGTGTTTTGGCGGACAAAATACTGGAAGTGTGGTGATTTTCGCAATTTGAAGTACCTGGATATGCTTTTAGATATCCACGATTTCCCTGACATGATTTTGTATTACAATTTTTAAATAACACTTTTAT